TAGCTATAAATCAACTATGCTTCAAAAAAAAAGAGATAAATTTCTCCATTAAGTATGACATTTATGATTGGGTCTTAATAGATACACATTATCATGGAGGGTTCTAGGACCAAAGCAGGAAAGAAATCCGGAGCATCCTATCTGGGTTAGATATTTTGCTCTAGAAAGCACAGGGGGGAAAAAAAGTGCCATAGCAAAACAAGATGCTGAGCAAGTTGAACTGGATGAGCCCTTGCTGGGCTAGGTTGATGCAGAGCCTCTGGCTTTGGCTGTAAGATAGTCCCATGCTTTCTGCTGCTAATGAGGCCTATTCAGGAGGAAGAAGAGGAGGTTTCTGTCCAAAGAAAGAGGAATGGGTACAGATCATTTGAATGGGTACAGATCATAAAAGTCTATGCCCTGATCTTAGCAGCCAGTTCAGACTGTGATTTTGCAAATGAGAATTATTCACATGAGAATTTCCACCACTCCTAAGACTGGAAGGAAGGTCCCCAACCCAGAAGGAGGCACAAACCCTAAGAGCTTACAGACCTCAAAATGTCAATCCTCTGTTCTACAGTCATTGTCTGGAGGATTGCTCATACCAGGAAAAAAAAAAAACAAAACCCACAGTAATTCAGCCCCAAGGCAGGGTGAGCTCCTGGGCAGAAGAAAGAGGCCCAAGAGAGAAGTTCATTCTGGCACCTGGGGCCCTGCTCTTCACCCCTGGATGGCAGAGACCCTTCAGGGGGTCCTCACCCTTCTGGTCCTCAAAGAGACCAGAAAGGCCAGCAGAGGAAGGGCGGGCCCTCTGCACTCACAGGATGGAAATCAGCTAGAAGAAAGTGCTTTCATGTCTGAACCAGGGTTTCTCACCTGGAGACAACCACGGCTCTAATCCTAGCTCTGGCATTTGCCAGATTAATAATTCTGTCAAGTTTCTTAACTTCTCAGAATCTCCTCATATGCAAAATGGAAATAATAATTATGTGTCTTATAAGATTGTTACAGGATAAGCTATCACAAAGTCTAGTGCTTAAAAGCAAAATTATCAACAAATATAGTGGGCCCATGTCAAAATTCTTGTTTGAATTCATTAATGAGAGAATCAGCAAAGAAGGTTTTTAAAGCTGGTTTGAAGAATATTTGAGAATACATAAAGACATTCAGGAAAGGAATGCCTAAGTAAGATTCGTAATTTAAAATATGACTCTTTTAACTTTCAATAGGGTGATAAAAATTAAAACAGGAGTTTAACATCTCTACCAGGCTATAAAATCATATTACCCCATCAAGCAGATGTAAACTGCCTACTTCTTTATCCACCGTGACTTGTTAATCAAATATACTGTGCCGACCATGTTACATTCCCCAAGAGTGTCAGACGATAGAAGGTTAACAAGTAGCAAGGACTTGCTTCAATTCAGGCAGACTCTAGCATGAGATCTAAGCAATAGATCTAAGCATGATTGCTTAGATCTCTAGCATGAGATCTAAGCAATCACCAGTTTGTCTTTCTCTAGGTTTGAGATGATTTTTTTCCTTTCACACCAACAACTAGAAGGAGCCCAGTAAGTGTTAGCAGCTTTCCCTCCCCTCCTCAGCCCCTATGAAATTAGGATGAATTCCCTAGGTCAGGAGGCCAGAAGATAGGCTGGTATCTGGACCCGACCAGAATCATTCTGGCTCCCAAGTGGAGGGATGTACGGGGAAGTCTTTTCCACTGGAATAAGCTCTGTGTTCAGCTGCTGGACGCCAGTTGCCCAATTCCAGATATTCCCCACGCTCTTTAAGACTTTTGTCACAATTGTGAGACGCTTGGCTGAAGTCAGGAGTCTTGGGTGGAGAAGTGGGATTTCAGACAGGTCATACTCTAAGGCCCCGGAAGTCTTAGTGGCCAGATCTGCCTCAGTTGGTGAGCCAACGTCTCCTTTGTGGGCTTGAATATTGCATGAGGCTTCCTGCTACACCACTTATTTCTCAACTTCCCGCCGCCTTGTTCTTCTTTTGTAGCTGGGGAAACAGGAAACCAGATTATCTTGCGCTGTGCTACAAGCCCGTCTGACTCTGCCCAGTAGGTCCTGTAATGGCACAGCCTTGCTTGTAAATTACCATCTGCAAGCCTGCCTACTCCATGGACCTTCCAAGGATGGCCTCCCTCACCTCCACCTCATTCTCCAGGTGGCCAGTGCCAGCTGGGCCACCTCCCATGTCCAACCATGAGCCTGGGTGTCAACCATTTGATAGCTCCAGGTCAATGCAATTCTTCACAACCAGTGGCCCATCACTTATGGTGAAACTCCAAAGGGCACTCTGGGCTACCTTCTGCATGGTCCTCTGAGAGGACTCAGAGAAAGCAGACTCATTGGACTTTCAACTAATGGCAAACAGTTAATAATGGTAAATCTCCCCCAAAGGATCCATTAACAGCAAGTCTAACAACGCATTTTCAAGGAGAGAGAAAGGCACTGGGATATGTTGCCCCTCACCCACACTCAGATACACACACACACACACACACACACCACCACCACCACCACCACCACCAATGTGGATAACTGAGAGGCAGAATCAGGTTGCTCTCTCCTTTTGTGCATTCACCCATTATATTCCCTAAATATTGAGCGAAGCCTGGGATGCTGCTTGATGAACGCTACCAACCCTTCCCATCTTTTTTTGCCTGGGCCACATTTGGGCCAGCAGCTTAACTTGAAAGGTGCTTCTGAGAACTGCATGAGAGTTTCCTCAACGCAGAGGGTGGGTTCACACTCCTGAATTAGGTGGAAGCACTTGCTTGGGGGAATAGATAAAGTGATCCTTCAGGAAAGATGAAAAGGAAGTAATTTTGTCCCTAGCCTTCCCACGCTTGCCCAGAAGGAGCCCATCTCCATATCTGATGACTAGACACCCCCCCCCCATCCCATTTTATGTCCCAGTCTTAGTTCTCTGCTGGCTGCCAAACATTTTCACTAATATGTTAGCTGATAATAAAACTGGTTGGTAATTAAAGCCTTGGTCAGTGAATAAGGGTTTAAGCTGTTACCTTTCCCTGTTCATTTGCATTTCTATATAAGTAAAGTCTACTACAAAGGAAAAGCCCTGTGATCTGGGGTGAGTAATCTTCAGCATTGGGATCCAGTTCATCTGAGTGGCATTTTGTTGGGTGGGGGAGGGACTTGCTCCTCCTGAAATGAGGGGGAATTGGCCACCTCCTCTTCTCCTCCTGGGCACGAAGCACTTCTGCCTTCTCCAAAGATGCCCTCCTTCTCCCACCCCCACCCCTCAGGGTCTGGTTCCTCTTCAGCCCAGGCTCCTGGGGTCAGAGGCACACAATCATCCCAGAGAGGGTTGAAGGGTCCCTGCTGTTCATGCAGAGGCTCAGTGCCTCATGCATATAGAGGGACCCCAAGCCAGCTTCCGTCTCCTGGGGCACAGTGCACCCCCAGCTTCACAGAGCAGGAGCATTGTGAAGGGGTAGGGGCAGCAGCAAAGAAACTGATTTAGGCCTTAGCAGCAGACGTCCCCACCAAGTCCAGCCACACACAAAACAGCAGTAGAAATACTCCACCTTTCATTACTAAAATCCAGCAGCCATGACAAGTGTTCTTAACCTTTTAGGGGTCTTTTGACCCTTTTTTAATAGTGAAAGAAGGGCTTCCCTGGTGGCGCAGTGGTTAAGAATCTGCCTACCAATGCAGGGGACACGGGTTCGAGCCCTGGTCCAGGAAGATCCCACATGCAGCAGAGCAACTAAGCCCATGCGCTACAACTACTGAGCCTGCACTCTAGAGCCCGCAAGCCACAACTACTGAGCCCACGTGCCACAGCTACTGAAGCCCACTCGCCTGGAGCCCGTGCTCTGCAACAAGAGAAGCGACGACAAAGAGAAGCCTGCGCACCACAACGAAGAGTAGTCCCCATCACCACAACTAGAGAAAGCCCGCGCACAGCAACGAAGACCCAATGCAGCCATAAATAAATAAATAAATATTTTTAAAAAAATAGTGAAAGACTCAGAGGAATGAGTTTATACATATACACTCAAAATGATGCATTCAACTTTGATTCCATTCCAGAGATATACCGTAGACCAAGTTAAAACCCCTGGTGTAGAGATTCTGGTGACAGCTCCCAACCCCCTTCCCCATTACTAACACCACCGCCCCATCACCTAAGTGGGGACAACAGAAAATGTCCCAAGGCACAACATGGAAACTCAACTTGGGAGCTGGGTTCTGGTGAGAGGTGCCCATTCATCTTCTGGCCCTCCCATTTCCCCAGACCCTTGGAAATCCGGAGTAATGATGGGGAGATTATTTTAGATAAGTCACTGATTACCAAAGCATTCAACCCAAAGGGAAGCATTTGAGTACCCTATTCTTTGAGTTGATCTTTATTAATGTATTAGCCTATCTGCCCATTCCTTTATTATTTAATCAAGTTAGGAGGAGGTTGGGAATGGAGAGAGAAGGAAAGCTTCCAAAATCTCTTAAGGAGAAATTACAAGTGTAGAGCCAGGGGGCTTATTAGTGTTACTTTGTTAGAACTCTAAGCAACCACCTAAATTCACACCACACATAGAATCAATCTCTCTCTTTCTCTCATACACACAGAGACACACTTCTACATAGTTATCTCCCTGATTTCCTAAAAGTTACATCTAAGATAATTAGCTGGAAATTACAACTTAGAGAACACTATGAGCTTTCCTTACGTCACCCTGTTCTCATATCACCCATTTGGGAACAAGTAGGAAAATCAACAGCTATAGTGTGTTGGACTCTGTAGAATCCTTAAGTCAATGGAACCCATGACTCAGGACCGTGGGGCTGGAAGAGCCTTGGGAATCATTTAGGGAGAACACGGGGAAGAAAGGTGACAAGCAGTAAGCACACAGGGCTCGTGAGAGATGGGGAGTGGAGGCAACAGAGGTTTGTTTTTCTTCCTTGGGTTTTCCAACCCTCCCTCCAACCCCCAGGAGCCTCCTTCCGCAAGAGAAAAGCAAGAAACCAAGAGAGGCCTGAGGGATCAGTTACTTTATTACTCTGAGGGGACAAGTCCAGGGGACCAGACCCAGGGCTCTATAGCTCTGTTATTCTTTGTGAATGTCTTCATGGGCTGCCAGGCCCACCTTTATTACCAGTGAGAGGAACTCCTGGAAGTTAAGTGCACCATCCTCATTGATGTCCAACTCTTTGAACCAGGTGCCTACATCCTTTTTCTGTGAAGATTGGAGAGAAAGAAGCCAGGGTGTAAAGATCTCAGGGAACCTGAGGCATGGCTGTCTGCACAGGGCAACGCCAGGGACCAGTGACCCAGGGCGTCATCAGAGCCGAGCAGAGAACCCCGACCACACCCAGCCCCTCCTCACCGTCATAAACTTAGGACACTCCGTCTCTAACAATTTCTTCAAGTCATCCCTATAGATGGCGTGGTAATTCCCTTTCACCAGGGAGTACTTGTGGTAGACCTCAATGAGGGAGTTCATGGCAGTCTCCAGGTCCGTCAGCATAGTGCCCAAGGATTTGCCCTACCTGGAAGACAGAGCACACAGGCAACCCCGACATGGGGAGGGTGCCTAGGGGGACACTCTGAAGGCTCATACTCCAAGGGATGGCTCTGCCCTGGATGGTACCATCCAGATAACTAAACCCAGCATAGGGCTACGGCTATGATGGGAAGTGGGGGACGACGTGGATGAGGATGTGGAAGGAAGCAGGGTATATATACACACACACACAGTTACTGCCAGCTCTCCCCATGCCCCCAGCCGCTTCCCAGGAAGGGCCCAGCTTGGGAATCAAACGTGCCCTCACCCAAAAATACTAGAGCACCCGGCTCCTTCTTCAGCCCTGGCTAACGCTTCTCTTCCGGGAGCCCTGGACTCAGTCCAGACCTCCCCAAGCTTTCTCTCCCCTCCTCAGAGAAGGCTGCTGCACTCCTCAGCCCTCCCCAGGGGAAGCCCAAAGTGTGGGACAGACTGGGGCAGTTCCACTTACCAGGCCTCCCCAAAACAGAGTTGACAAAAGATATGCAGGGCTGAGTGTCGGCTCCCTTTTATAGCAACGAGGCTTGGCCAGCTGCCCAGGACCTCAGACCACTCACAGGCAGCTGCTCCCTTTGAGGATTGCTACAGCCTCTGGTTTCCCAACAAGGTGAGTGGGGCAATCACTGCACAGAATGAAAAGTTCTGACGTGGAGCTTGGAGCGGTGTGGGGGGAGCACAGGAAAGGTAGAAGGAGGAAGGTTTTTGCCAGGCAGGGATGCACAGCAGGAGAAATCAGGAAGACGGCATGGTGAGGACTCCTCTTGTAAGCTGCTAGCAACCCCTGGCTTGGTCAACCAGGATGCCCACTTCTGAGTCCTTCCCACGGTTGCTGTGGCTATTCCCATGGCTAGTGGCCAGTCTGTGCATCTCAGAAATGGAACTGAAGTTGAGTGCATCATTTTGAGTGCATGAGTATAAGCTCATTCCTCCATAGCTTTCATCACATTCTCAAAAGGGTCCAAAGGCCCCTGAAAGGTTAAGAACACTTGTCATGGCTGCTGGATTTTAGTAATGAAAGGTGGAGTATTTCTACTGCTGTTTTGTGTGTGGCTGGACTTGGTGGGGACGTCTGCTGCTAAGGCCTAAATCAGTTTCTTTGCTGCTGCCCCTACCCCTTCACAACGCTCCTGCTCTGTGAAGCTGGGGGTGCACTGTGCCCCAGGAGACGGAAGCTGGCTTGGGGTCCCTCTGTATGCATGAGGCACTGAGCCTCTGCATGAACAGCAGGGACCCTTCAACCCTCTCTGGGATGATTGTGTGCCTCTGACCCCAGGAGCCTGGGCTGAAGAGGAACCAGACCATGAGGGGTGGGGGTGGGAGAAGGAGGGCATCTTTGGAGAAGGCAGAAGTGCTTCGTGTCCAGGAGGAGAAGAGGAGGTGGCCAATTCCCCCCCATTTCAGGAGGACCAAGTCCCTCTCCCACCCAACAAAATGCCACTCAGATGAACTGGTTTCCAACACTGAAGATTTGTGGTGCATTTCTCTTGCTACAAAGCCCTTCAGACTCACATAACCTATTAATATACTCAGAACATGCCTATCAGGAAGGCGGGGCAGAGCCCACTCAGTCTACACACACAGAAGTCAAGCCCCCAGGAAGGTGAAGTGGTTCCTCCAGAGTTTCCCAGTGCAGATGTGTCAAAGCCCAGACCGGATCCCAGAGCATCAGGCTCCCAGAGTGTGATCTGACAAGAACATGACTCTGCTGAGAAAACTCCTCCCCTCTCTCCTTCCTTCATGCATTCAACAAATATTTACCCTGTGCTCTCCCAAGGCCTAGGCCATCACTGCCTCCTAGGGGAAGTAGATAGGATTAGCCTCTCTCTCCATGTTTCTACAGCCCTTTGGGCTCCATTTTGTCATTAACTTTATAGCTGTGTGACCTAGGGCTAATTACTTACCCTCTCTGTGCTTTAGTTACATCAGTTATTAAGTAGAGATTAAAAATAGAGTCTACCCTCAGCCTACAGAATAGGAGAGAATATTTGCAAATCATATATCTGAGAAGGGATTAATATCCAGAATACAGAAAGCCTACAACTCAACTCCAAAAAAAACAAACAGCCCAACTGAAAACTGGGCAAATGTCTTGAATAGACATTTCTCCAAAGGAGATATACAAATGACCCATAATCACAGGAAAAGATGCTCCACCTCACTAATCATTAGGGAAGGCAAATCAAAACCACAATGAGATACCACCTCACACCCATTAGAATGTCTGCTGTCAACAAAGACAGAAAATAACAAGTATTGAAAAGGATGTGGAGAAATTGGAACCCTTGTGTACTGCTGGTGGGAATGTAAAATAGTGCAACCACTGTGGAAAAAAGTATGGTGGTTCCTCAAAAAATTAAAAACAGAATTACCATATGATCCAGCAATTCCACTTCTGGGTATATACCCAAAATAATTGAAAGCAGTCTCAAAAAGATATTTGTACACCCATGTTCACAGAAGCATTATTCACAATAGCCAAAATGTGGAAGCAACCCAAGTGTCCATCCACAGATGAATGGATAAATAAGTGTGGTATATACATGCAATGGAATATTATTCAGCCTTTAAAAAGGAAAGAAGTCCTGACACATGATACAACATAGGTAACCTTGAGGACATTATGCTAAGTGAAATAAGACAGACACAAAAAGACAAATACTGTATAATTCCACTTATATGAGGTACCTGGAGTAGTCAAACTCATAGAGACAGAAAGTAGAATGGTGATTGCCAGGGTCTAGGAGGAGAGGGAGGGCGGGAGTTATTGTTTATTGGGTGCAGAGTTTCAGTTGCGAGATGATGAGGGTTCTGGAGATTGGGTGCACAACAATGTGAGTACACTTAACACAACTGAACTGGACACTTAGAAATGGTTACAATGGTAAATTTTATGTTATTTGTATATTATCACAATTTAAAATATTTTAAAATTCGAAACGCTTCCACCTAAAAAAAAATAAAATCTACCTGATAGTGTTGTTGTGAGGATTAATAATAGATGAAAAATATTTATGATTTGTGGGCTTTCATTAATTTGCATTATATTTTAATTAAAGTTTACACACACAAAAAAAATATGTGAAGTACTTAAAGCAGCGCATAGTAAGCAAGCACTGTGTGAGTGTACAGCGTGATTACTGCTCTGTAAATATGTCTGATTCCCCAGCTGGGCTGTGAACCTTCGAGGACCCAAACTGGCTCATCCACCTCTGCCTCCCTGGGACCCAGCACAGTGCCTGGCATATACTATAACAGCAACAACAATCAATAAGAACAAATAGCAAAATAATAGCTAGTATTTACTGGGTTCTTACCATACACCAGGAATCATTGCAAGTGCTTTACTTACATCAGACCATTTAATCCTCACAGTAATCCTATGAGTTATGTTCTATCATAATTCCCACTTTACAGAAGAGGAAGCTGAGGCCCACAGAGATACAACATTTGGTGCATCAAAAGACTTAGGCGGCTTATGACCCGCTGTGACAGCATCTACTTTCTGCACCTGCCTGGAATGTCTCTTTGCCATTAAAGTCATCCTCATCCTTCCTGCCCCAGCCCAGGCATCATCTGCTCTCATCCATCCCTGACTCTCCTTCCCCCACCCTTATCAACACGGAGTTAATTCTTCTCTCCTCCATGCTACCAAACCCTTCTGCATCACAGCATTTGCCCTGCTGTATTAGGGTTCATCTGTTTATTGTCTGTCTTTTCTTTAGGTCTGGGAGCCCCTTTAGAGCAGAAACCACATCGCATCCCGGGGCCTGGTGCCTACTAGGGGCTCAGTTAATACTTACTGAGGGGATAAGTGAATGCAAATTGAACATCGATCTAGCCCTTACCCAATGCAAAAATTCCCTTGGTCATACCCAGCCACTTTAAGTGGTTTTTGGAACAAGACAGCATATAGATCCATCAACCAAATGCCGTCTACCTTCCTTGGCTAGTCAACCTCTTGACAGGAAAATAGGGCTGTTTCCGACATCTAATATGACACGTTTTCAGCCAATGGTCAAGCAGTTGGTGCATACCTATTATTTGCCAGGCCCCTTCTATATGACCTGGCACAATACCATCTTACCCCAAATAGCGCATCATATTTTCAAAGTGTTTTTACATCCACTAACTCTTTTGATAACCCTGTGAAATGGACATCACAGGTACAATTATCCCTATGTGACAGATGAGAAAACTGAGGCACGGGGAGTCACCTAAGGTCCTCTGGGCATGCATTCTGCTTTGTGTTGGTGCTTAGGTGCCAAAAAGCACACTTTAGAACAACAGGGTCACTTTTTCTGAGATTCTATTTCGGCTTTGTTCACTAGCCCGGCATGGAGCTCATGCTGACCTCTTTCAAGGGGGTTGATGGTGAGGTTGATGAAGATGATGTTTTTCCCAGACCCTAGACCCCTTGGGAGATGCCTTCCTTGAAGCCACTCCCCTGAGAATGTCCCTGTGGAGACAGCTTTCTTCATCCAGAAAGGAAGGAAAACAAAGCCCCAGGTCCAGCAAGGGAGACATGAGCCATGACCCCCTCCAGCCTCATGTGCTTGTCCATGGAGCCTGCTGACCAGCAAGGCCATGAAATGCTGCCCCCAGAGATGCTCCCCCTGGACAGGCAGCCTTGGGAACCTCAAGGAGAGCAGGACCAGGCTGAGCTGACCCGGCAGGAGAGGGTGTCAGGAATTGGGTAAGCACATGGGGGAAAAGACAGCTCCTGTAATCAGACTGACAGACATGGGGCAACCACTGGGGAGCGGAACCTAGACCTGTTTACGAGAAATAGCTCAGTCCCAGCTGCGTGTCCCAATACCAGGCTCTTGCCCGTGGCTAAGGAAATGTGGAGAGAGCCCGCAGGGTCGGTGGAGAAACCCTCCGGGGAGGGGCAGGAGGAATGGGCTGAGCCGCCCCTTCATACTCAAAGCCTGTAGAACACAACACATTTCAGGTGAGACAGGCAAGGAAGACCCACCTGGGCCCCGGGCAAGGCTGTCCTGAGTCACCAGGCCAACTGTCTCCAAGTCTCTGGACGTGACTAAGCGACCTGCAGGAGGCAACACAGACCTGGGTCATGGGATTCCAATCAGCAGGCACCATCCCTGCATCACTCCCTCCCTGAGCATGCTGTGTGTGACAATGCCGGGCCCTGTGCGGGACACGGAGACAACAGGACGTGGTGCCTGTCTTGGCGGAGGACACAGGCAGCAACACACCTCCATGCAGCAGGACAGACACCTCCACAGGGGAAGTCCAGACGGAAATGGGGGAGGGGGGCTGCTGACTTTTAAAAGGCGAGCACTGGGGATTGGCAAGCGTGGACGGGCATCCATGGCAGGCCTGCTTCCAAGCTCCACTGATCAAGAACAAAGGTCCCTGGCTCGGCCTGCAGAGCACTGCGCCCCATGTTTGGTTCACAGACCCAGTTGGCAAAGGGAACCAAACCAAGTCCCTTAGATGACACCCCCAATCATCTACACAGGGGAGCAACACAGATGATTACCCATTATTCTTCTATCACAATGCGCTCGGGACGTGGGTCCTCAGACCATCCTCAGAGAATA